ATGCATGCTTGTGTTTCTGCTCCAGGGCAAGGGACCATTGCTCTCTGATTCTGGATTTTACCATCGCCCCAAATAGTGGTCTTGTTTTCAGCTTTATCCTTTTCTCCTACGTAAAAGTTCAGGGAAATCAAGAGCCTCCTCACAGCGGTGATAAAAATATGCAGAAGACACAGTTCTAATTGTCCCTAATGGACTATTTTAACCAGTATTGTAAGCTACCTCTTGAAAGGGGTCAGATGCTAGGAGAGATTGTTGCGCAGAGAGGTTTCAGGACCTCTGAGCTCAATCTGAGTGAGAAAGTCATCCCTCTGGGTCAGTACAGGTCAGTCCCTGCCTGCCTGCCATTTCCAGTTCTTCACACTAGGAATTATCTATATTAAGATAGTGCCGGTTCCTGTTTTCCATTTGGATTCTACGCCGGTGTCCAATGAGGGCACCCATGTAAAATTTTCACTGAGGTTTTAGCGTATTGTTTGTTTGAAGTTGTGTTGACTGGGCACTGCCATACCATTGGTATGGAAATGATGACGATAATCAAGAATCACACACACTTTCTGTTGTGGATAAACTGGATTGGGCCTCGATGTTCTTTCAACCTCTGTCCTCCTTGTCTTCCTAATTTGCAGTGTAGGACACCTGAAAACTACATTTCCCAGAATTCCATGCTACTACTGTTCTGTATGCTAGATTGGCCTGCCAATTAGAGTCCCTTAGAAGGCTGAAGTGAGGCAGAAGCTTTTGATTGTTGCTTCTGCAAGCATAGCCCTGAGTTGTTGTGTGTTTTTTTGTTTGTCTGTTTGTTTTTGTCTGCCCTCCCCTCCCCAACAACTTTCCAGTATCCAACTGGATACCTTGAGAATCCAGCAGGGATTAATCAGCAAGGAGCATGGGCCCTAAACTTCCTGACCTTACGTCTAAGTTATAATGGTCTATCCTTGGAATCATAATAGCAGTGGTAGTCTTCCAATTCCCTACTTGCACAATTTGGTGGAAGTGACTCCCTGTGGGCCAAGCTCAAGTCCAGCCCCCATTAACTCTCTTCTCTACTGTTTTCTCCTGTCTTCCTTTTAGTAAATGGCACCACCATTCACCTAGGTGCTTAGATTAAGCCCAAGAATTATCTTGATTCCTAGGCTCTTATCAGTCCTAGAATTCCAACCCACTTTTATGTCCTGTTGCATTAGATCCAATATATACCCAAATGCAACCACTTTTCTTCATCTTCACTGCTAACTCCTGGCCCAAGCCACCTCTGCTTCCTGTCTTGCTTCTTGATAATCTGTTATCTATTTATCTAAAGGACATTCTTTTAAAATCATAAAGACCTCTCCTGTCCCACCCACTGCTCCCCTTAGCAATGTATTTCAGTAGATCCACCTGTTTTGCTCCCCACTCTGCCTTTCGTGAATCTTCTCACCCCCTCCCTGTACCTCTGGCTTGTACCCCAGTTCTTTTATGCATAAATAAGTAAATCTTTAAAAAAATAAAATAATAAATTGGATCATTTGCACCTTCCTTAAAATTCATTACGTGACCTCCCATTCTATTTAGATTACTTTAAAGTCGTTGCTGTGGCCCGAGAGCCCATGTAATCTGACCTCTTTTCTACCACTTGTACTCATGATGCTCTGGTTAGCAAGCCCTTTTGGCAGTTCCTCACATCTAGGGTGTTCTTACCTGAAGGCCTTTGCACTTGAAGTAACTCGTGGCTGGAATATTTCTCCTTAGACTTTTAAGTGGCTGGATCCAATTATTGACTTCTTAGTGAAGTTGTTGTCTTTGTCTTCTGAGAGGCTTTTCTCACCACTCTATTGAACGTTATCTCTCAGGGCCCTCCGTGGCGGTACAAGGGGTTAAAGTGAAGCTCTAGGAAGCTATCTGCAGCCACTGCAGCACAAGTTTGATCCCTGACCAGGGAGGTGACCCACATGGCGTAGCAGACCTCTCCTGTCCTGCCCACTGCTCTCCTCGCCAGTGTATTTCAGTAGATCTGCCTGTTCTGCTCCTCACTCTGTGGGGAATCCTCTCTGGTGAATCCTCTCACTCCCTGCTTCTCTGGCCTGTATCCCAGTTCTTGTATGCACAAATAAATAAATATTAAAAAAAAAAAGAAGAAAGTTGTCTCCTAACCCCATCCCTGGATAGACTTGGCCATGATCTCCCCAGCACAATCAATGATTTCCTTACATACTTACTCCTTTCATTATCAGGGTCCCTAGCTAAAACGTAACTATTGAAAACACAGGGCTTTGTCTGTCTTGCTTATGGTGTGTTCCTAGGTCCTCTGCACAGAGTAGATGCTCAGTAAAATTTTTTTAAGTTAATTATATTTCAATCTCATGCTAGTGTGTATTTGGGGCTCATGTGAGAACAATAAAACATTTGGAGTGTTGTGTCAATGTTAAGTGACACAGATATTATAAACCCTTCCATTCAAAGTTTCCAGAACTAGGTTTTCTCTTTATTTTGCATTGGGAGAACAGATATACTTAACTGGAGAAAAGGTGAGGACTAGGAATGAAACTCAAGAGACAGATGTTATCTTCCTCCTCCACAGTCAGGAACTGCTGGGGTTGAGGGAGGGGGTGGGTGGGACCTTCATGATCCCAACCCATTCCTTTGTTCAGTCCTACACTGTTCTCAGCCCTTACCAGCTCCCTGACCACTATATACCTTCTTTCTCGTGTGCCCAGAGCTACCTGGGCATGCCTTACTTCTACCCATCCATGATTTGGGATTTACCTCATCTCCAAGACTGCCCAAGGTATCAGACCTGGTCTGTTGTGCTCCATCCTTTGTTCCAAACACAAGCTCACAAATCTGTTGGTGTTCAAGGTTTAGTTGCTAATCACTGGGAGAATAACCAAAAACTGTGAAGTTTGGGAAACCATGGTCTCTGCTCCACGTGGGTTCCTACACTTGCTGAGAGAAACCATGGAACAGGGAAGGGATTCCTTGGCTTATATTGCGACCCAGGAGAGGTTTGAGGTATCTTCCTTTCCAATAAAATGCAAAAAGGAGGCAAAGGATCCCCAAGCCCTACCTGCTCCCCAGCATTCACACTCAGGATCCTTTCCTTTACACTTTCTCTTCCCATCATTAGTGCCTGGGTAATCTAAAGACTTCTCACTTCTGCCCCTCTGCTATAGCTTGTAACAGGGCCCTAGGGTTCTGGAGTTAGCACCTCCATTCAAGGTTCTCACAAGTTGTTTCAGGGAAAGTGAAAGGGGTTTTGGCCTGTCTTCTGCAAACAACAGTTACAGGACGTGGATTTTTCCAGCTTCCACAAGCAAGGGACGGGTTTGGGGATCCGTAGTACCTACTGCTCTGCCCACCACCTTTCCGGTAATCTGGCAAACTGGGGCGCCCCCCTGTGGCTCCGAATGGAATAGGCCCAGTTTACCCAGGGAAGGCAAATAGCTTGGCGGGTGGACACCCAAGGGGAAAGGCAGCCTAGTCCTGCTACTTCACATAAAGTTTGCCAGCTCCCAACAGCATTAGCACCACATTCCATACTGACACATTATCAGAATCTGCACTCTTAACAAGATATGCCCGTTGACGTTAAACAGCACTGCTTTGGCGCCCTCAGCTTCTTTTCTCTCTCCACCAGGAGATGCCGATTTCTGTCAAACAGAGCAGAACTTTTCCCAGCACAAACTGCTCACAAGACAGCTGGGCTGAGTGTCCTGAGCCTGTGGACTCGGCCCTGCCCTCCCATACCTCCGAGCACCTGTGCTTTACAGGGCGGGCGGTGCCAGAGCAAAGCATGTGCCGCAGAAGGCCTGTGCGGTGCTCTGCTCCACTCTTCTTCCCAAGGACCCTTGTGGGAGTTGAAAAGGGCCCCCATACCTAAGCACCGACCGGTTCTGGTGTTGCCCCAAGAGTGCTACTCTAATTCTTCTGTTCCCCCCATTTCCCGCCCTGTGCTTCCATCAGATGGCTTCTCTAAACCAGCTGGCTCTAAGTTAAATACCCCCTGGGGAGCTTAGATTTCCCCACAACAGAACAAGAAATCTTCTTGTACAGCGTCTGCATTCCACTTAGGGACCAGCCATGGAAGGACTGTTGAATTAAAGATCAGGAGCCCTGGTTCTTCTTCCTCTGCCTGCATCAGCCTCAGGAGAGTGATAGGCAGGCTGGCTCCTACCTGCTCTGCCTTCTTCCAGGTTGGCTAGTATGGAGGTGGGGGGACAGGGTGTGCCTGGAAGCTTTGGTAACTATGAAGCTTTTTCTAATACAGGAGACTGCTAAAGTAGCTTAGAAAGATAATCTCCAGAGGAAAGCCAAGTGTCTTGCAGGGTTTAGGAAGACTGGCTAGAAGGTGAGCTCCATAGTGGACACTGGCTACAGAGGGCCACCTGTTTCAGCACGGCATGCTCATGTGTGGTCCTCAAGTGCTTCCTGCTAATGAAACAGTTACAGCTGTGTGAAAGCAGTGTGCTCTGGCCCTTGTGCTGGCCTGTGTGTGCAGCTCAGACCTTATGAATTGAGAAACCCAGGTTCCGGTTTGGTGGCCTTGAACAATTCTCAGAACTTTCTGGGCCTCAGTTGCCTCGTTTTTAGAGTAGGGGGTTTAGCTGGTTGATCTCTAAGTTCTCTTCCAGCTGTGCCACGATAAGCATCCGGTTGATCGGGGCAGGGAGGCTGGAGATCAGGGCGGGGAATGCTGTGTGTTATTGGCTTTTCCAACCTTGGTTTCTGGCTGTCTTCCTGTGGTCTACCACTCTTTATTGGTGATGCCAACAATAATGAAAAAAAGGCTTGGCTAGCTTCTGTATGTGCGTTGTTGATCATAGAGAGCCAGAACTTGCCATTTTGGAAATGATCTTTTACTCACTGACAAATACAGGAAGCTTGAGCTGAAACTCATCAACACACACACACACACCAAGAAACCACAGGCCTATCGGCCTGTCGTCATCAGGCAGACGAGAATAGTGCAGAAAACTCTAGGCAGAGAGGAAATGAACTTGAAAGAAGGGGGAACACGGGGCAGAGAGGAGAGAAAGAAGGCGGGAGCGGCAGGGCATTGCTGAGGGCCCGCGATGGTGGGAGCATGGGAGAAGTGGCAGTGAAGCAGGGCTTCCTGTACCTTCAGCTGCAGCAGACATTTGGAAAGGTAGGAGGCTCAACCTGGGCTGGGCCTGGCCAGAGCGTCTGGGGGTGCTGCTAGAAATTTCTGGGGGAGAATGGGTTCTCTTGAGTGTTTCCAAAACCCTTATGGGATGCTGAGGACTCTGCCATTGACCTGATAAGACCCAGAGTCAAGCCTGGAAGTCTCTTTTCCTCAGCAACTACTTGCCTCCCCAACCGGGCCTCAAACTTGCTTTTGTGGAGGGCTATCGGCCTTGTGGGGAGGGAGCGGAGGACTCTGACTTTACTTCTGCTCTGCTGGGACTTCTCACGGGGATACATTGGAAGGAAATGGAAGAATGGTAGAGGGGGGATTCAGAATCACAGTGGAGGTTCCTGTCTCATCCTAGTGGGGTGCATTTGGCCGGTCACCTTGAGCTGGGGCCTCTGGGTGCCAGGGTCCCAGTGTGTCCAACCTTCTCTTCCTCGAATAAGGAAGCCCTCTTTCTCAGCCCACCCACAGTAGGGCCACTCTCCCATTCTCTCATGGCCATCCTGTGTGTGGAGGGGGTGGGGGGAGGCAGGAGGCTTCGGGGCATTGGGGAAATATTGCTAGAGGATTTCTACAGAACCTCACACAGAACAAGAGGGATGATCTCTAGTCTGGGCCTTCATGCCGCCTCCTTCCCCTGCCCCCTCTCTCTCGCCTCTGGATTCTTCTTCAGGAACTCCCTGGCTTCTTGCCTCTCTGGCATCTCCAGGGTTGGGCCTGCCTCTTCCTTGCAGCTGGTCTCTGTGGGGGTCCTTATTGCCCTTTTCCACCTTGGGCAGTCTCTCTCATGCTACTATAAACCTCTTTGGGCTGCTCACAGCTGATCTCCAACCCTTTCAAATTCTTAAGGCATTAGAACTCTTCTCTCCATCTTCGTGGGGCCCTTGAGATCTTTGCTCTCTCTCCCCCCACCACTTTGCATCCAAGAACCTCTTCCCTGGTCTCTTCTCTCCCCCTTGATCACCATTTATCCGTTTCTGCTGGCTCCCCCTGGCATTCCATCTGCTCTGTGTCTGCACTCAGAAATGGCGCCGGTTTGGGGCTGTGCTGTATGGAGAGTCGGGCTGCTCCCTGGCCCGGCTGGAGCTGCAGGAAGGTCCGGAGAAGCCGAGGCGGGGAGAGGGCTCCAGGAAGGTCATCCGCCTCAGTGACTGCCTGCGGGTGGCTGAGGCTGGCGGGGAAGCCAGCAGCCCTCGGGACACCAGCCCCTTCCTCCTGGAGACCAAGGAGCGCCAGTACCTGTTGGCAGCCCCCGCCGCAGAGCGTGCTGACTGGATGCAGACCATCTGCCTCCTGGCCTTTCCTGTGAGTTGTCCAGGGGTGCAGAAAGGGCAAGGTGGGTAGGCAGGGGCAGGACATAGATACTGCCTGTGGGCAGATGTGTGGGGAGCCCAGGTCAGGGTTCTGGGGTGATTGTTTGATGGGGGACCCCAATCTAGAGCATAGATGGGCAGCCAGCTGAGAAAGCCTGGCCAGAGGTGGGATTTAGGGTTTGTGATGGTGGTGAGACCCTGCCTCCTCGCACAGGGCCAGAGGACGGAGCTCATGGGGCCGGAGGGGATGGGCAGCAGGCCCTGCATGGCAGAGAACGAATTGTACAGCAGCAGGACCACAGGTGAGGGGCTGCCTATTTCTGGTGCTTCCCCCACGGCATGGCGGGAGGAGGTGTGAGCCTGCCTGCTGCCTCTTCCGGAGTCTTCCTGCTCTGTGGTTGCCCCCAGCCCCACCAGCCCCCTTATCAGTGGCTCCACATCGCTCCGGAAGCAGCTCAAGGTGGGGGAGCAGGCTTGTCTGGACTGTCAGCCCTGCACTGTGAGAGTGTCCGGCCCCTGCCTGGGCCCCACTGGTGGGGGGAGGTGGGGAGGGGGAGGTGTCCGGTGTGGTTGCTCCTCTTGAACCCTGTCTCTTTGGGACCTGAGCAACTGTTTGAAGAAAACAAAAACAAACAAACAAACAAACAAACAAAAAAAGGTTTTCTTTCTGTGGATGTAAGCTGCCCTGTGGCAGGGGAGCCTTTTGCTGACACAAGATCACTTTTGCGATCTCTCTATCCCTCGGGCGTGTGTGGAGGGTGGACTCCGGGGACATCCCAGCCCCACCTCACCACAGGCCCTGCTGGCATCCGCAGGGCGTGGGCAGGGTCAACTGCACCCGCAGCTGTGACAGTCGGGACTGAGACAGCAGCTGGGTCGGGTGAGAGATGAGATGGGGAAGACGAGCTGTGGCTCTGACAGCGGGGACAGGAAGGATGTGGGCAAAAGGTTGGGGTGCATGTGGCTAGGGCATGGTGCCTAGTAGAGCAGGGGGTGGCGGTACCAGGCGTTGGGGGTAGCATGACCTGAACGGAGCGGCTCCCCCTTCTAGATGCAGGCTGGAGTCATACGTGCATGGCTTATGCGTTTCTCAAAGCCTGGCATGCTCATTTCAGGCAGGCCAGAGCCCATCGGCCCGGCCCGTGAGGCCCTTTAACCACCTTCTCTTAATCCTGCCCTCTCCCCGCCTAAGTGGTTCCCCGAAAGGAGTTTGCTGTGACCATGAGGCTCACCGAAGCCAGTGAGCGGTGCCGGCTGCGCGGAGCCTATACCCTCCGTGCGGGGGAGAGCGCCCTGGAGTTGTGGGGTGGCCCTGAGCCCGGCACCAAGCTATATGAGTGGCCCTACCGGTTCCTGAGGCGCTTTGGGAGGGACAAGGTGAGTAGGGGCCCAGCGGCTGGCTGAGAGGAGGAATGAGTTATGAGCAAGGGTTGTCAGAGAGAGGGTCAAGGGGCCCTCGAGGACAAGAAGATGAGGGAGGGCTGGGGGGAGGGTGATGAAGGTCAGCAGATAGGGCAAAGCACAAGGCAGTGGGAGTAAGAAGAGGGGCTGCGAAGGCCTTGGGGTGAGGGAGAAGGACAGAAGGGGAGGGTAGAGAGAAGTGGGTAGTAGATGAGGCTGCTGATCTCTGGGACAAGCCCAGCTCAGGCCCCACCACAGGCTGGCAGAATGAAGGGAGCTGGCAAAGGAGAGGATTTGGAGGGGGTTGAGGGGGAGAGAGATGCATGGGAAATGGCTGCCCTGGAAAGTTGGAGGTGACAGGGTTTGTGTTTGGGGGCCGGGTCCAGAGCAGCGGCCCACCTGCGGCAGCCTGGCCAAGGTCCCTTTTCCCCTCCACCCAGGTCACCTTTTCCTTCGAGGCAGGCCGGCGCTGCACCTCTGGAGAGGGCAGCTTTGAGTTTGAAACCCGGCAAGGCAATGAGATCTTCTTGGCCCTGGAAGAGGCCATCTCTGCTCAGAAGAACTCGGCTCCTCCTGGACTCCAAGCCCAGCCAACCACAGTCCCGGGGGTGTCGTCTCGGCCCGACAGTCCCTACTCCCGGCCCCATGACTCACTGCCACCACCACCTTCGCCCACGGCCCCAGTGTCTGCCCTCCGGCCTCCTCGGGCCCCAGAGGGGGAGTATGCGGTACCCTTCGATGCAGTAGCCCGTAACCTGGGGAAGAACTTGAGGAGTATGCTGGGTGTCTCTCGCCAGTGCCCAGCCGACCCTCTGTATGACAGCATTGAGGAGCACCCAACCCCGAGGCCTGAGCACATATATGATGAGCCTGAGGGGGTGGCCTCTCTGTCCCTCTATGACAGACCCCAGGAGCCCCTAGGTGAGGCCTGGAGGAGGCATGCCATGGATGATGGGGACCCCAGTAGCCTGCAGCATGTCTACCCAGTGGGGCAGGACTTCTCAGCCTCTGACTGGTCTCAGGGAACAGAGTATGACAACGTCATACTTAAGAGAGGCCCAAAGTGACTGAGGCAGGGTGATGGCACTGTGCTGAATGCTGGCCCCATCGGGATCCCAGGTTAGATGCTGGTCAGGAAGAGGGATGCGGCTGTCCTCCCCTTTCAGCTCCTTCTGGTGACTCCTCCTGGCTACTGTACCCCAAGCATATCCCTCTGCTCTTTGGGGAACCCTTAGCCGGGTCTGCTTGTGAGTCACCATCTGAAGCAGGAAGGTTGCCCTAAAGAGACCCTCCCGCCTCCTACTCCCTTCCCACTTCCTCTTCTTCCCTTCCCGGGACCTAAAGGGAACCTTGGGCACTGAAAGGAGAGGACACAATAATGTCAGCAAATCACCCTGGCTCCCTGTTTTCTGCAGGCTTCCTGCCTGCTGGCTCCAGGCCCAGAAGAGTGTGGCTGCAGCTTTTGCAGGTTGGGGACTTCTCTGTGGCATTAAATATTTCTGGAATATTTTTGTGTGTGGCATGAGTACTCTGGGATCAGAGATGGGACATTCACGGCCCTACTGGGATTGAAGGGTCCTATGGGCCTCTGGACCCCTCTGCTGGACCCAGAGAGGGCTGGGTGGGCCAAGACCCGGTTCTAAGACTCTGTAGTCAGCGTCCTTTGAGTCAGTGCACCCTGGAAAGATCTTAAATGCTTTGCCAGTGTATGGCAACACCAGAGTAACTTTGGGGAAGCAGGTGGTATGTGTGGTGGGGAGGTAGAGAGAGCAGGGAGAAGCCGGGCTGGAGGGAAGGAGAGAGCTGGCAGTCTGTGGGCCTCTTACTAGAGCTGGAACCAATCCCAGTGGTGCTGGCCTGCTCTGCCCGTTGTGAAACGAGGGGTCCTATCACGCGGGCTTTGAGAGCCCTGCCTGCTCTGATCCCGTCCCCCCCCCCAAGCACTCATGTCTCATTTTCCCAAAGAGCAGGCTCAAAACCCACTTCCATGGAAAACAATGTCAAGGTGGTCCTGCCACCAGCCAGTTCAGTCCATAGAAAGGGGCTCTGTGGGCGCCGGCTGCTGACAGCCCAGAGAGGGATGAGGCGGGGCGCAGCTGTCTATCAGGAGAGGGAAGGTTCATGCGATCATGAAACAAGCCCGTGTTCGGAGGGAGGTCTCCGTATCCTGGGTAGCACTTAAGATGGGTCTTCAAGGGCTGGAAGGAATTCCATGGAGGTCTGGGTGTGTGTGGAGGAGTGGGGAGGCCTGGGCCCTGGCCAGCTTGAGAGGGCTTCACTTTCACAGCCATGATTTAGCTGAGACCACAGGTCCCCACCATGCTGTGCAGGAATTACAGGCAAGGGGGAGCAGAACGCGTTTTGAGCAGAGCATCAGGGCCACGATCCCAACAGCCCTGTGGGCAATGGAGCAAGTGGGCGTGGTCAGGGCTGAGCAGGCCGGGCTGGAGGCTGGGAGTGCCCAGGCCTCCCAAGGTTTCTATCTCCCCTTTCAGGGGGGGAGATGTGAATCCCTGCGCCCTTACACCACCAACAAGCCTCATTTTGTTACCTCTGTCAGGTGGACTTGAGGTGAGCTCAGTCCAGCAGGGGGCAGTGTTAGCCTGTGGAAAAGGCTGCTAGGCGCTTAGCTATAGCCAGGTGTGGGGACTTGACCCTGAAGGAACTTCAGTGTTTATTACCCTAAGAATGGAGGGTGATTTGAACAACCTGTATCTCGGCGCCGGCTCCTGCAGACCCTCAGATCCTGAGCTGGAGGCCTGTGGAACGTGCCCCTGGGAGGTGTGGGGTGCTGAGCTGAGGTGTTGGTAGCTTTGCTGGAAAAGGGAAGTGATAGATCAGGGCCTTTGGGAAAGGCAGTGTGAGGACTGGTGGGGGCAGGGAAGTGGGCATTTGGGGAAGTTGGGAGGGGTAATGAAAGTCCTTGAGACAGTTGTGAGGACGCTGACCTGTGATACCCGGGTCTGCAGGAAGTGATGGGGCAGGCAGGCCCCCTGCAGGGAAGTGGCACTGCCAGTGAGTGAGCCCACCCACAGGGTGGCCCAGGCAGCGGGCAGCGTTCCTTAGCTCCTGCACCTTCCAGGCCTTCCGGAGCTGGACAGCAGGGGGCGCCGTGGACTGGTCGCCCTCTCTATGAACCTGCCCAACCGCTGCCTGTGCAGATGAATACTGAATGGGTGAACCAAGGCATAAACAGTAGGCATCCACCTCCTCAAACATCAAGGGGAACCCTCCTTGAAGTGTTTCTAGGCCGCCCTGGCCACCTAGGCCGAAGTCCAGAGGTGAGGAAGCACCTGGATCTTGGAAGGGACAGGCCAAGTGAGACCAGTGACAATTCTACCAGGGAGCAGTGTTACCACAAGGAGCTCGGCCATGCTTTCATTTGCTAATTAAAAAAAATTATTTATTTATTCATGCATAACTGGGGTACAGGCCAGAGGTACAGGGGTGATGAGAGGATTCACCAGGGACAGAGTGGGGAGCAGAACAGGCAGATCGACGAAGTACACTGCTGAGGGCAGCAGCGGGTGGGTCAGGAGAGGTCTGCCAGGCCATGTGGTCACCTCCTTGGCCTGGGTTCGAACTCTCGCTGAAGAGGCTGTGGCTGGCTTCCCAGGGCTGCACTTTAACCTGTTGCGCCACCAGGGAAAGCCCTCATTTGCTAATCATTAAGCAGAGGTGATATGGAGCCTGTGCTTGGGGTCGATGTGTGCACTGATCCTCACAACCGCACACACAGCGCGTCCCATCAGTCTTCCTGTTTCTTTTCTTCTTTTGTCTCCTTTTCTATTTTCTTTTTCCAGAGTATATGGGGTGACGGTGACGTGTGTTGGCTGATGTTCTCCTTTCTAAGCTCCATCCCAGGCTACAGAGGCGTGGCCAAGCCCCATGCTGTGTTCCTATCGTTACAGGGCACCCCAGTGTGGATTGGGTTGCCTGTCTGTGGGTCCTCACCCACGCGCTTAAGATTCAATTGTATTATGGACACACAGAAAAAGGTTCGATAATGGGGTTTATCCACAAGGAGAAAGGTAAAGGAATAACCCAGGGAAAGAGGGAGAGAAATACAAGTCAAGTTAACTACAATGCCCTACCAATTCTGCTGACTTGGACTCCACCGGCATGCTGAAAACCGATCGAGAGCCAGACGACCAGCCGCGAACCCCCAGGCCAAGCGAGCCCCAGAGCCCCCATGTCCAGCTTTATCCTAACCTGGCTGCTCAGCTCTATCCTCACTTGTTATTGATGGGATTAGTAGCTCCAGTATGCGAAGTGGGGGCGGAGTCCATGAAACCTGTGCCTGTCACACTACCTTGGAGCTTCAGCCTCTACCAAGGCCCAGCTTGTCCAGGCCTCTCTCCTCAAGCAGGCTCCTCCCTGAAGGCTGTGCTCAAGCTGTTGCTGCCACCACCTTTCAGCCGTGATGCTAACCAGCCTTCCGCCTCCTGCCTCTTGGGCACTGATTCAATTAGCCAATGTGCCCACCTCCTGCATGGGCCATTTATAAAATCAGCTGGGGTAGTTGGCTCCCTCAGGAGGGCGGGGCAGAGAAGTGAGGGGAGAGGTCAGTGAGCTAAGATGGGGAAAGAAGAACAGGGGGTTCCTGGGAGGAGTATTTAATCTGATTAGGCCGCAGGCTGGCTTCCCCTAGGTAGGCCTGGCTGTCCCTGCCCAGCCCCCAGGCAGCTCTGATGCTGGCCAGCTCCAACAGACAGCCCATCTCTAGGCTCCGCCAGGCCTGTCCGCTCCTCTTCACCCCCTCCTATCTCTGGAGCCCTCTTCTGGACACCAGCTCCTGGCTCCCTGGGCCAGAGGTAGCTGGTGCATTTAGGAGAGGGGTGGATGTGTGCAGGGAAGCATCTATTCGGAGGGACTTGGGGGAGCTGAAGCCCCTGAGCTGCATTCAGTAATTCTGAGAGCAGCACTCCAGGGCTGGGTCAGTTTTGTTCTAAGTATCTTATCCCAGAGGACTGAAAAGGGGTGGGGGCTGGGGTAGAGGGCAGGTGTGCCTGAGGAAGCAACTGCCTTTGACATTTCCTCATTTGCAAGCTGCCAAAGCTTGTAAAGTCCCTAAGGGATGGATGAGTAGGGTCAGGGAAACAGCCTGCAGCCTGCAGGCCTGGGTTCAAATTCTGGTTCTTTATTTGCTAGCTGTGTGTCTTTGGGCAACTGCTGTGAGATGAAAGTGCTCTGCTTCCCAACACGCTTGCTGGGAAGCCTGAGTGAAGTCGCACACGGCTCTCAGAATGGTGTCTGCACACGCAGGGCTCTGCCACCTCACCTCCAGCAGCATCTGAGGCTCCAGGTCCAGCTTCCCTGTTGTATAAGCAACAATGGAGGGACAGAGGAGGAGGAGTCTCTTATGTTAAGGATAAGAGAGGAGGAGTCTCTTATCTTGGAGTAAACTTAAGCTTTATGGAGATGGGTGGATTCGAGAAGGAGAGGTTGGATTTTTGATAAGAGGACAGGAAAGAAGAGGATTCAAGGAGACAGGTGCCCAGCATCAATAGGGACCTTTCGGCTCTGAACAGGTGGCTCCTGGCTGGGCACTCTGCTCTCCTGGAAAGAGCAGCATTTCCAAGCCCTTTTAAGCCCAGAAAGTGAGTGCTGGCAAGGGGAGCTGCTTCATAGACGCAGAGGCTTTTGGCTTGAGGCTAGGCTGGAGATCAGAAGCCGCAAGTGAGACTTCCTTTTTCCATCTGAGCTGCCCTATCCTTTATTCTCTCAGGCCTGGCAGCTGGCAATTCAGGACTTGGGGGTGGGCCCCTGGCTGGGTTGGAGCTCCTGGTGGTCCAACTGGCTGGGCCTGCATGCTGATGTGTTCAATACAGATCCCCTGGGACTCTGCCTGCAACCACCAGGGCAGGCCTCTGAGGAAGGAGGCTGGAGGCTGGAGAGAAGATGGGAAGAAAGGAGCCCAGAGGATACTTCCAAGGAGGTTAGCCATCTCTGCACTAGACCGCAAGCTTCCTAAGGGCGAGCTTGACCCAATTCATCTTTGTATCCTGGCTCTTAATTCAACACCTGATACAAGGTAGCTATTTCTTGATGGAAGTAATAAAACGAGCCCACTTTGGGGGGCCAATAAATGCCCCCCAGTGTTGTAATTTGTGGGGTACTGGGAAAAGCATTTCCTCTACTAGATCCATCAATCCAATCATTAGAATTTCATGCACACCCCTCCCCCTCCTAGCAGACCCCTTTTAAAATCCAAATGCCAGAGCTCCTGAGAATCCTTAGGAGAGTTTGCAAATGAGCAAGAAAGAGGCAGACAAGCAGGGCTGGCACAGAGGCACTCTGGTGGGGATCGGGGATCCCGGGGAGGGGGAGGGAGAGGACAGATCTGACCTGGAATAAGGCTGGCTGGCTGAACCCTGAAGAATCCAGAAGTCTGGTGACCGGCCTATATGCCAGGGCCTTGGTGGGTACTTCTCAGCTGGCTTCTGACTACCAGGCAAATCGGCAGGTTTCCCTGGCCGCCCTGCACT